ATGTAAACTTTGTGATTTACATAGTATAAGAATTCAATATTGTTTGTGTAGATTTATTCAATTTTTTTTTTCTCATAGGTTTCATCAAATGATAGTTTGAGTGCCATTATTTTGCGTGTGAAGAGAGAAGCTTTATTTGCGGGCAAGCAACAACAACTTGGCAAACTTGTAAGTTGTAACATGCCCTTGCCGTACCCCCATACCTATTTCCCACATTATATGCTTTTTGAATTTTGTTGATACCACCAATTGATGAAAAACGAATTTTCTAATCTATCTGAAAAAACGGGTTGGCATTTCTCTTCCCACTAAATTACTACAAAAAAAAAAAAACCTTTGGAATTAAACAAACTTACGTAGAAGTCCAAAAGATATTTTACTATAGCGGGAGTACAATGTCCATTTACTCCTCCATGTAAAACTCCACATAGAATTGATTTTAGGACCATAAACTTTGGAGATGTAACCTTTTCAACCTATAAACTATCCTCAATAATTAAAAAAAAAAAAATTCTTAATTGTACTCTCTATGCACTTGAAAAAAATAATGTCGTAAGAGTGAATTAAGGCTTTCCAATTTTTAGATTGTGAGATCTAAGCGCTAGAAAACTTAAATTCCATTTATGATCTAATAATTTTTAAGTAGTTTCCAAAAGTTTAGATTGAAAAAATCCTCCCAAGTAAGTCTTCTAATCGAGGGAGTAGAAGAAAACCATATTCTCTAGAGAGGAGCACAGCAATAGGTGCTCTTAAATAAATGAGTCGCAAGTCACCAAACAGCATTGTTTTTTGACACAGCTAGTCGACTAGTAGTTATGAGGAAAATAATTTCTTCAGTATGGAAGGAAATTGTTGCTAAACCTTCTCTCTCCACCCTCTATATCTAAATAGAACAGAAATCCGCCATTGATCTTGGCCTACTTCTCCACAACGTTCATCTCATTTCCTTTAGCTATCGACAACATTTTAAAAAACGGGTCGGTGGGGCGGATCGTTTATCCAAATCGTGGTTTGGATCTGCTAGATTGGCCGTTTGGATGGTTTCAAATCTCTGAATTGGTGATCCATAAAAATTAAAAAATAACTAAAATAAAATAAAAATCGAAGTAACGGTTCATAGGGTAAGAATTTATGGGGGACCAATGACAACATCCGATAAGCTTAAAAAAAAAAGAAAAAGAAAATACAAAAGGAGATTTTAGAGGGAATTGGGTGGAGACCCATAATATGGAGACCCATGCTATTATGGGACTAGTTCGGTCCTGACCGCCTCCGGATCTGAATCAGCAATCCGAATTAAAAATTGCCTAATTTTAAAAACCTAGTTACCAACTTTTAATCCTCCTCTGCTTTGCAGCTCTGAAAAATCTCTTAATCTCTCTGTCTAACATAGTATCCTCAATGTCTTTGGACTTGTCTGTCATATGGTCGAATAGAATGAGGTTTATTTGTTTCTCTATAAATAAAGGATGGATTTTTAATCATTTCGAGTCAAGGTCTTTAGGACAGCTTGAATAAGGAGGCATGGTCGAATAGAATGAGGTTTATTTGATTCTCTATAAATAAAGGATGGATTTTTAATCATTTCGAGTCAAGGTCTTAAGGACAGCTTGAATAAGGAGGCATATAGAGAGAGAGACAGCTTGAAGAGAGAGAAAGAGACAGAGAGCTAGAAGAGAGAGAAAGAGAGAGAGCTTGAAGAGAGAGAGAGAGAGAGCCAGTGGGTTCGGGAAGCAAGCACTAGGGGGCAACACGCGGCTCTATACATAAAACCACGACATCTTAAGAACCACGGAACCAAAATGCTTATTAAATAATCGAACAATAGAATTACTCCCCACCCAAAAAACTTATAGACATGGTCCCATATATTTTCATGATAATCTATTCATACAATGGGTTTTGGTGTTCTTTAGACAAAGCAAATCTCGGACCACGGAATTAGATATTTCCCCCAATTTTAGAAAATATAGTGTATAGTCCTTGGCATAGCAGAATGACATATCATGATCTGTAGAGTCGACCCCAAATAATTAAAAAAAGCTCTGATGAGAATGATGATGATAATATATTTGTGGGCCAAAGGATTCGATATCTCCCTCAATTTTAAAAAATATAGTGTGTGGTTATTGATAGAGCAGAATGACATATTAAGATCTGTATCGTCAATCCAAATAGTTAAGAAAGGCCATCATGAATGATGATGGTGATATATTTGGCTCCATATACTATTACTAAGGTATTAAAACCTTTTACAAGGCATCTCTTCACTTCACTTTCATGAAGGATAAAATTTTGGTTTGCATCTTTTGCTTTTTCTTTTCATCTTTTTGCTGGAAGCCCAAAAGTCTAAGTAGCTGAGAATTGTTTTCTCATTTGAATGAGATAACATTTGTCCATATATATTATCTTGTTTCTTTTTAAAAAATTTGTATAATTTTTTGTTTTTCCATTCAAATTTTGAAAGCATATGGTTTCGGGGGGATTGGTAAATAGTATGATATTTCATGCCATATCAAAAACGAGGTTCTTACGACTATTACGAGCACTCTATACGCTCATTACCTGCAAAAATAATAGAACAGTTTATCTCAAACTTTATATGACCATGCAGGAGCAAAATGTACATCTGATCCCTCAGGCAAAACCCTAGCTAAGAGTTATATTTAGGGCCCCAAAGGATTATCAATAACCGCTTTTTTTGATACATGAAATGCCCAATATTTGAGTTGCCCGGACTTGAGTGTGTTTTTCACATGCACTAAAGTGAAGATTCTAAAATGGATCCCCAAGTTTCATATCAAATAATCCTCTGAATTATTTGGAAAATGAAAAGAATTCGGAAATTCGCCTCTTTCACCCCAAAGCAAAAAGGGTGCGATTTTTGACCAAACCACTTATTTCTCCATAATTGGGCTACAACTATCACATTGAAGAACATAAAAGCACATTTCCTTTTTTACATGGGAAATGGTCCTTCGAGCCCTTGATCTCCACCGTCAGTCACCTAAATTGGATGGTGGAGATCAAAATAACTTCAATCTCTTTCTTTCTTTTTTTTTTTTTGTCTACTATTATTTTTTTGGGTACAGTTTGTATAGACCCGAGGCTCTAAACAATCAAAGTAAAGCACATTCAAATAATGTTAAGAAATGCAGTTTCAATACTAAAAAACTTTGTGATAGCCTTAAAATATATTTCCATCTTTAATTATAAAATTTAAAGCTTAAAAAAAAGTGTAGATCGAGCAGATCAATTAAAACTAAACAATTGATGGTCCAAATATGTGTTACAAGATGAACTACTTTCAAAACTTCTAATCTATTTTTTTTCATGTTCATGAATCTTGATGTCGAGATGATCAATTTGAAGATATTTGATAATCAAAACAACAATCTTTTAGTGAAATTTTTGAGGTGGGCTCTAATTTGATTGTTTAGAGCCTTGGCTCTATATAAGTTTTTCCTCCTCTTCTTCTTTTTATTTTTCATTTTTTTTTTATTTAAAGCCTACAGGGTGTTGATCACTTGCCACCTATTGAGATTTGAGAGCGAATGTGTCTGCTGTTTTTTACTAGAAAACCAAAAAGCAACCAGGAAAGGAGGAAATGTCAGCGCTCCCAAAAGTAAAAGAAATGTTGAGGAATATAAAGTAAAAGAAATGTAGAGAGAGAAAGATAGAGAGAGAGAAGTAAAATGACCAAGTTGAGAAGGTAAAAGAAAAATTAGGGGACAGAGAAAGAGTAAAACAAAGGGAAAGCAAGGGTGCACAGTATACTTTCTCAAAACGAATTATTGTGAAAAAGATAGTCAAATGAGAGGAGATATATATGAAAAATAGAGAGTGGAAAATAAATGCAGGGTGAAAAAGTAATATTAGATGAAGTTAGGAGTGAAAGAACAACAAATAAATATTTGGAGAGAAAATGAGTAAAAGGAAACCAGAGAGAGTAATTGATTGAGATGAGCTAATGGACTTGTGGCTCTCACTGAATCTGATGTTTTAGGGCCCTAAACACTGAGAGAGAGAGAGAGGGAGACTGTGTGTACATTCAAAATGGAGAGGATATGTTTGAGAAACAAGGTTGCGTTAATGTTAAAAAAAAAAAAAAAAAACAATTGTTTCATGCGAGCAGGATCGTATTTCTACAATATGTGGTCCAGATGTATAAAGATGGATGCAAATAGGTTGCCCGTCGTTTAAAAACAATTGTAACTAACCGTTCAAATATTTTATTAATATAATTATTATTTTTAGTTTTCAAATTTTTTTTATATTCATGATCTTCATGTTACATATTACATATACTTTAAAAAGGGTGCAATTGGCATACGGATACATCCGCAGGTGTAGAAGTAAGGTGTACCTTCACATTTTATCATGGTATATAATTTTGATGTAAAATATTTTTAGGATTATTTCAAAATCTATTTTTATATCTAATTATAAAATTTTAAATTTTAAAAATAGTTAAAATCAAGTAGATCTACAAATATATGAAAATCTTGAAAAAAGGGCAATGTAGATAATATGTTGTAAAATGTATTATTTCTGAGATTTAAAATCTTTTTATTTTTTAAAGTTATACATCTCAACATTAAAATCTTTTTATTTTTTAAAGTCATACATCTCGACATTACAATATTTTTATGTTTTAAAATCATACATCTCGATGTCAAGATGATCAGCCAAAGGATTTTTCAATATTAAAACTATCTTTTTTGATGGATTTTTAAGGGGCATATGTAGTTCTACCTTATAAGGTAGCATCCTTGTATAAACATTTTTGAGAAAGAGAGATGGGAGAGAGTGGATATGCATGGGTGCGAGTGTTTGTGCGAGTTGAGGAGAAAGTGTGCATGTATGCGCTGGTGTTTGAGAGTCTGTACGTGTGTAACGAGTGTGCGTGTGTGTTTTGAGAGAGAGAGAGAGAGAAGTAGTGTGTGTGTGTGAGATAAATGGGTCTGTGTGTTTGTGTGAGTTGATGAGAAAGTGTGTGTTTTTAGAGAGAGAGATGGCCGATTGAGGAGAGAGAGAGAGAGAAAAGGGAGAATGTAAGATGATGGGAAAAAAAAAGCAAGAGATTTATTTCGAGGACTAAAACCCCCGACCAATTAATACCCCTTTCCCAAAAGCCGGGTTTAAATTGGGGCAGGGCAGAGCAGGGTTCTCTGTAATTCCTCCATCTATCTCCTCCATGCTCTAAATACCCTTTCCTTTCTTCTGATTCCTTACTTTAATGGCGCCCCCTGTTAATCCCACAGACCCAAAACCGACGGCACCCACATGACTATCTCTTTCGCTCCACATTTCCATCTCTGAAAACCCGTCTCAGTAGGCAGAGCAAAGAAAACCTTCAATGGCTGCCTATTTTGATTCTCTCTCTACCCTTCTCTGCTCAGAAGAGATGGAAGAAGGAGAAGAGGAACCACCCATTGTCATGCCTTCAATCTACATTCAATCGACAATGCCCGATGAAGCCCATATAGCCTCTTTGATTTCACAAGAGACCCATTTCACCCCAAAAGAGGACTATCTATTTAAGCTCCAATCTGGTAATGTCAATGTATCTGCAAGGAATGATGCAGTTGATTGGATTTATAAGGTGGGTTTTGATTGATTCATCTCTTCTCTCTCACACACTCTACTTGGGGTGTTCTCTCTCTCTAGAATCTGAACTTGTTTAATCGGTGTTTACAGGTTCATGGACATTACAATTTTGCTCCTTTGACTGCTTGTTTATCTGTAAACTACCTGGATCGGTTCCTATCTGAGTATGAACTCCCTGTGAGAACCCAATACTCATTCTCCCATCCTAAAAGCATAGAAAAGTTTGATGAAAATTTGTTTTTTCTTATTCATTTCCATCCACTGTTTCTCTCTCTAGCAAGGTAAAGTTTGGATGGTGCAGCTGCTCTCTGTTGCCTGCCTGTCTCTCGCAGCGAAGATGGAAGAAACTGACGTGCCATTGTCATTGGACTTGCAGGTAAGTTCACATTTCTCTCTCTCTCTAAGATGCCTCATTTCTTATGCCGAATGCTTGATTATCAATTTGTCACTGTATGTTTACAGGTGAGTGAAGAAACCAAATTTGTATTTGAGGCAAGGACCATTCAGAAAATGGAGCTCCTATTGCTCACTACCCTGAAATGGAGAATGAATGCCATTACCCCATTTTCCTTCATCGATCACTTCATTTTCAGGACAAATCCAGAGAACCCAATTCCTAAATCTCTCATATCTCGATCAACACAGTTGATTCTAAACTTAACCAGAGGTAAAAAAATGAAGAAATTCCAGTCTTTTAAGGGATAACCTCTAGAGAGAAAGAATGAATACAAGAATCAAAACACATCAGAAAAATTCATGTTTTTTATTTTCTTGGGTTGCAGGGATTGAGTTTCTTGAATTCAGGCCATCTGAGCTTGCATCAGCTGTGGCAATATTTGTGTCTAGAGAAATCCAACCTGCTGTTGACTTCCACGATGCAATGGATTCATGCTCTCCTCTCATCAACAAGGTCAATTAAATTTTCATGAAATGAATTTGACTACCCTTTTTATGTTTTCAATTATGAATGAATATTTTTTTTCGATATTTTTTTTAGATATTTACGCTTGTTTATATGCCTTTTTTTGGGCTTAAAGTAGGTGAATTCATCTTGTGGGTTTCCTTATTTTAGTTTTTCTTTCTTATATACGTGCATTAAATCAATGGATATCATAAGATATATTAATATGTTTCATGTCCATGGTCTTTTGAGACTTTTGGATTTAAATAAGGGGAATTCATCATATGGGTTTTGTTATTTATTTCAATTCTTTTGTACTTTAATTCACCCAAAAACAATATTCTTTTGTACTCTTCTTCTTTAGTGATTAATGAAATCAAGCTATGGGCAATATGCGGGTTTTCTCTCAATTTTATTCTCATTTTCCTGGCCTTACATATGGTAGAAATTCACTGATAAATGGGCATTGAGTTATTTTCGGTGAAATTTGCAGGAAAAGGTATCAAAGTGCTATGAACTGATTGAAGAGATTGAGACGACCAAAGACTGCTGTTTTTTCGCCGGAAAATCATTTTCCGGCGAGTCTTCGGCCTCTCCAAAGAGCCCAATCGGTGTCTTAGAGGCCGGGTGTCTCAGCTTTAGCAGCTGTTCTGGATGTGTCGGCATCTCAAATGACGAGACAATGAGGCTTAATTGCTTTATATGAATGGGAGAGAAAAAGCAGGTGGGGATATTTTGGGAATTTTGGGGTTGGCTTGGGATTTTAATTTATTTATATATAAGAGGGTGGCTCACGCGTTTGCCATGATAGGATATCCCAGCCGTTGAAATTTTTCCAGAGGACATTGGTTTTTGTTTTATAGGAAAATGGAGGAAAAAAATAAGTTAATGAAAAACTTGGGGGCAATGATTCCCATTGGGTCTTAGTCCTATTTTCCACTTGGGCTAAGATAGGGAAAAAAAAAAAAAAGGACGGAAAGGTGAGTTTTCTTGAGGTATTTAAGTTTTTACTGATGATATATAATTTATCTCTGGAAAATGCTTTTCCGTTAATTACTTGTGCTTTGCATTGTATAGTAGTGATATGCTTTAATTATCGCATTTTAAGATTAATATATCAATTTCTTTTTGTAATTTTTTTTAGAGCAATATGGGTTGCAACTATTTAGATGTAGATGTTATTTGATATAAAGAGCATGTAATCACTTTACTTGTTTTTAATTATTTTCTTGAAAGAAAAATGAAAATAATTGGAAAAATAATTACAATATGCTTTTGCCCGTGGTTTAAGTTTGATTTGGTGTGATTTTGAAAAACATCAAGTTGGTTTAATTTTGATTTGGTGTGATTTTGAAAAACATCGAGTCGGCATGAAATCGCTAAGTACGACTCAAAAATCAGTCACCTCATACTGATTATGTCGACATATAGGAAATCATCTGGGTCTACAGTAGAACAACGTCTACAGTAGAACAACCAATGATTCGCTACACTAAAACGACATTTTTCTACCGTAAAAAATGCCAATTCATCACTATTTTTGCATGTAATTTTTTGCCTATTCATTTATTTTTTCATACAATAAAACAGCTATCGGGGGTCGATTTTTCTGTTTTTAAAATCATTGAATTATAGTATTATAAGCTCCAAGATTTCGAAGTTCTCGTGTGTGTATGCAGTGAAGAAGAGTACAGTGAGCACCCTATTCTCGTCTTTTGTTATGGATTATGTGGGGCTGCTTTTTTAGGGAACGACTAAAATGCCCTTGTGATACCCCGGTGATATGAGATATAGTTGGGGGCTTTATTTGGAATTTGGAAAGTGGAACACAGCATGCGACAAAAGGCCAACGGGTCTGGTTGCTATTTTTCTTGGGAACGTCGAGGTTCGTTTCGAAATTTCCTTTCATCATTAAATGCAACGCTGACCCCGCGGCCACTTTCCAATCAAAATGTACATGTCCAAATCCCACCTTTTCCATAATTCCTGCCCTCCCTTTTAACCATATATGCGGAATTGCCCTCGTAGAGAAAAAAGACAGGTGGGGCTTTTCTATGGGGGGGCCTGAGTCAAATATTCTCTGCTCCTTTTAACACCAAACCAAAGCGACAATTTGGTCTTTCTGGAAAAATAAATAAAATGAGGGCATTTCGGTAATTTTGTCTGGGCACAATGCGACCCACGTGTGAGGACGTATGAGAAATTACGGGAAGGTTAAGGGGTAGTTCGTACTGGATTTGAGGGTATTAAGGCGCCGACCGTGTCAGGCTCGCCGCGGTGGTCCGTTCGGTCCGGACCGTCCTTGCGCCTGCTGAGAGACATCGAGGGTCTGTTCGTAGTCCGTACCCTAGAGAGAGAGAGATGAGAGAGGGGGGTGGGAAGGGTTCGTAGTGCGTACCATTTGGCGTGCAAGGTCTAGGGCTGGGCCTTGACCACGGTTCGTTGCGGTCCCCGAAGTGGGGTCAATGCTTGGGAAACCCAAAAGCCCAAAACAATTGCTCACTTTTCCTGCTTTTTTCTTTTTTTGTCTGTATCTCTCTCTCTCACTACATTCTTCATCTCTGATGCTCATCTTCTCATCTCCCATTTTTTTTTTTGTCGGATCTGGTGGTCTCAACTAGTTCAATTTGAGAATTGGTTATCTCCATTTTGTCAATATATAAAAAATCGTTCAGGTCTAAAAATCATCCAGGTTTAAAAGAGAACCGTCGATTGGTTCTAATAAAACAGTATTTTGCTACAGTAAAAATATCGTTTTATTATAATAAAAACATCTATTCATATATCTTGATCAGTTCTTGGTTGAGTTCAATATTTTTGTATATGTTTTTTCGCTGTTTTTCAGTACAGTAAAATGGTGATTCGAACCATTGATTCACCGGTTCTGATCAATTTTTACCGTGCCCAATCTTAATTACCAATTATTTCTTCAAAATCCTGGTCTCATCCAAGGTTTTGAAAAACATGTTCCTGATTTGGATTTGCTTATTCGGATTTTCAATCGGTTGGACTGATTGGCAATTCGAAATGACGGGCTAAAAATTTTCAAAAAAAATCAATGGGGCTGATTCACGCCGGTTTTGTAGCAGTTGCAAGGAATTGGCAAAACAGGTCGGTTCAATGATTAAAAGATCAAAAAAGAGAACCAGTACAAGCTGGCTAATTCATGAAGGCATGGTTGATTGTCAATATTTTACAGGATTTTGAGGGGATTCTCAATATTTTACAGGATTTTGATAGGGATGCAGCTTGTATAGAGCCTAGGCTCTAAACAATCAAATTAGAGCCTACTTTTAAATAGTATAGTGGTTTCAATATTAGAAATCTTCGTGATAGTCTTAAATATCATTTATATTTATTTAAAAGTTTAAAACTTAAAAAAATAATGTAGATCGACAGATCTATAAAACTTGAAAATTTACAATCCAAAAATGCATTACAAAATATACTATTTTCAAAACTTAAAATCTATATTTTTTTCATGTCAGACACTTTTTGATGTCGAGATATCCATTTGAAGATATTTGAACATCAAAACAAGCACTTATAGTTTAATTTTTGAGATGGACTCAAATTTGATTGTTTTGAGCTCTATATAAACTTTTCCCTTTTGATAGTCCTATGCTTTTTAACGCTCCAACTCCAACCACTTCTCTTTTTTCTCTCATCTTCCTCTTGCCACTGCCTCTCTCTCTCTAAACGCCTCCCCTCACTCTCTCTCTTCTTTGTTTACGTCACGTAGGGTACGTGTTAATGTCCTATTGGGTGGAGCTAGTGCCACTCCTCTCCCTGTTCCCTTTTTCCACTTGGTATTGCAGGGTTGGCGAGTTGTCACGTGAGTATTATCAACGATGATTTTTGAAGGGGATTTGGATTTGGCCTTTTAAATTTGTTTCCTCTTCTTCCATTTTTTTTTCTTGTGAATTATTACATAGAATTTTATATATTATATTGTCATGATTGCGTGGCCCATTGTGGTGAAAAAATGGGCAGCATTGCAAAGTCAAAAGCTTGCTACTTTTACATAGGACTTAAATTTAGCACGAGCTATGACAATTATTCATTGCTACATAGACCTTTAAGAAACTCTTTTACTTTTGAAATGTTTTTTTTAAAAGTAGAT